AGCTCTACCCCCATCCTGGTGTCACCCAACTCTACCCCTACCCTGGTGTCCCCCAACTCTACCCATACCCTGGTGTCACCCAACTCTACCCCTACCCTGGTGTCCCCTATCTCTACCCCTACCCTGGTGTCACCCAACTCTACCCCTTCCCTGGTGTCACTCAACTCTACCCCTACCCTGGTGTCACCCAACTCTACCCCTACCCTGGTGTCACTCAACTCTACCCCTACCCTAGTGTGCCCCAACAATACCCCTACCCTGGTGTCTTCTAGCTCTACCCCAACCCTGGTGTCACTCAACTCTACCCCTACCCTGGTGTCACTCAACTCTACCCCTACCCTAGTGTGCCCCAACAATACCCCTACCCTGGTGTCCACTAGCTCTACCCCAACCCTGGTGTAACTCAACTCTACCCCTACCCTGGTGTCCCCTAGCTCTACCCCTACCCTGGTGTCACCCAACTCTACCCCTACCCTGGTGTCCCCTAGCTCTACCCCTACCCTGGTGTCCCCTAGCTCTACCCCTACCCTTGTGTCACCCAACTCTACCCCTACCCTGGTGTCACCTAGCTCTACCCCTACCCTGGTGTCACCTAGCTCTACCCCTACCCTTGTGTCACCCAACTCTACCCCTACCCTGGTGTCACCTAGCTTTACCCCTACCCTGGTGTCCCCTAGCTCTACCCCTACCCTGGTGTCACTCAACTCTACCCCTACCCTGGTGTCCCCCAACTACCCCTACCCTGGTGTCCCCTAGCTCTACCCCTACCCTGGTGTCCCCTAGCTCTACCCTGGTGTCCCCTAGCTCTACCCCTACCCTGGTGTCCCCTAGCTCTACCCCTAACCTGGTGTCACCTAACTCTACCCCTACCCTGGTGTCAACCAACTCTACCCCTACCCTGGTGTCACCCAACTCTACTCCTACCCTGGTGTCCCCCAACTCTACCCCTACCCTGGTGTCCCCTAGCTCTACCCCTACCCTGGTGTCACCCAACTCTACCCCTACCCTGGTGTCCCCCAACTCTACCCCTACCCTGGTGTCACCCAACTCTACCCCTACCCTGGTGTCACCCAACTCTACCCCTACCCTGGTGTCACCCAACTCTACCCCTACCCTTGTGTCCCCTAGCTCTACCCCTTCTCGGGTGTCCCCTAGCTCTACCTCTACCCTGGTGTCACTCAACTCTACCCCTACCCTGGTGTCACCTAGCTCTACCCCTACCCTGGTGTCCCCTAGCTCTACCCCTACCCTGGTGTCCCCCAACTCTACCCCTACCCTGGTGTCCCCCAACTCTACCCCTACCCTGGTGTCCCCCAACTCTACCCCTACCCTGGTGTCACCCAACTCTACCCCTACCCTGGTGTCCCCTAGCTCTACCCCTACCCTGGTGTCCCCTAGCTCTACCCCTACCCTGGTGTCACTCAACTCTACCCCTACCCTGGTGTCACTCAACTCTACCCCTACCCTAGTGTGCCCCAACAATACCCCTACCCTGCTGTCCGCTAGCTCTACCCCAACCCTGGTGTCACTCAACTCTACCCCTATCCTGGTGTCACTCAACTCTACCGCTACCCTAGTGTGCCCCAACAATACCCCTACCCTGGTGTCACTCAACTCTACCCCTACCCTGGCGTCACCCAACTCTACCCCTACCCTGGTGTCCCCTAGCTCTACCCCTACCCTGGTGTCACCCAACTCTACCCCTACCCTGGTGTCCCTCAACTCTACTCCTACCCTGGTGTCACCCAACTCTACCCCTACCCTGGTGTCACCCAACTCTACCCCTACCCTGGTGTCACCCAACTCTACCCCTACCCTGGTGTCCCCTAGCTCTACCCCTACCCTGGTGTCACCCAACTCTACCCCTACCCTGGTGTCACTCAACTCTACCCCTACCCTGGTGTCACCCAACTCTACCCCTACCCTGGTGTCACTCAACTCTACCCCTACCCTGGTGTCACTCAACTCTACCCCTACCCTAGTGTGCCCCAACAATACCCCTACCCTGGTGTCCGCTAGCTCTACCCCAACCCTGGTGTCACTCAACTCTACCCCTACCCTGGTGTCCCCTAGCTCTACCCCTACCCTGGTGTCACCCAACTCTACCCCTACCCTGGTGTCCCCCAACTCTACCCCTACCCTGGTGTCCCCTAGCTCTACCCCTACCCTGGTGTCCCCCAACTCTACCCCTACCCTGGTGTCACCCAACTCTACCCCTACCCTGGTGTCACCTAGCTCTACCCCTACCCTGGTGTCACCTAGCTCTACCCTTGTGTTACCCAACTCTACCCCTACCCTGGTGTCACCTAGCTCTACCCCTACCCTGGTGTCCCCTAGCTCTACCCCTACCCTGGTGTCACTCAACTCTACCCCTACCCTGGTGTCCCCCAACTACCCCTACCCTGGTGTCCCCTAGCTCTACCCCTACCCTGGTGTCCCCTAGCTCTACCCCTACCCTGGTGTCCCCTAGCTCTACCCCTACCCTGGTGTCCCCTAGCTCTACCCCTACCCTGGTGTCACCTAGCTCTACCCCTACCCTGGTGTCACCCAACTCTACCCCTACCCTGGTGTCACCCAACTCTACCCCTACCCTGGTGTCCCCCAACTCTACCCCTACCCTGGTGTCCCCTAGCTCTACCCCTACCCTGGTGTCACCCAACTCTACCCCTACCCTGGTGTCCCCCAACTCTACCCCTACCCTGGTGTCACCCAACTCTACCCCTACCCTGGTGTCACCCAACTCTACCCCTACCCTGGTGTCACCCAACTCTACCCCTACCCTGGTGTCCCCTAGCTCTACCCCTACCCTGGTGTCCCCTAGCTCTACCCCTACCCTGGTGTCACTCAACTCTACCCCTACCCTGGTGTCACCTAGCTCTACCCCTACCCTGGTGTCCCCTAGCTCTACCCCTACCCTGGTGTCCCCCAACTCTACCCCTACCCTGGTGTCCCCCAACTCTACCCCTACCCTGGTGTCCCCCAACTCTACCCATACCCTGCTGTCACCCAACTCTACCCCTTCCCTGGTGTCCCCTAGCTCTACCCCTACCCTGGTGTCCCCTAGCTCTACCCCTACCCTGGTGTCACTCAACTCTACCCCTACCCTGGTGTCACCCAACTCTACCCCTACCCTGGCGTCACTCAACTCTACCCCTACCCTGGTGTCCCCTAGCTCTACCCTGGTGTCCCCTAGCTCTACACCTACCCTGGTGTCTCCCAACTCTACCCCTACCCTGGTGTCACCCAACTCTACCCCTACCCTGGTGTCACTCAACTCTACCCCTACCCTAGTGTGCCCCAACAATACCCCTACCCTGCTGTCCGCTAGCTCTACCCCAACCCTGGTGTCACTCAACTCTACCCCTATCCTGGTGTCACTCAACTCTACCCCTACCCTAGTGTGCCCCAACAATACCCCTACCCTGGTGTCACTCAACTCTACCCCTACCCTGGCGTCACCCAACTCTACCCCTACCCTGGTGTCCCCTAGCTCTACCCCTATCCTGGTGTCCCCCAACTCTACCCCTACCCTGGTGTCCCCTAGCTCTACCCCTACCCTGGTGTCCCCTCGCTCTACCCCTACCCTGGTGTCACCCAACTCTACCCCTACCCTGGTGTCCCTCAACTCTACTCCTACCCTGGTTTCACCCAACTCTACCCCTACCCTGGTGTCACCCAAATCCACCCCTACCCTGGTGTCACCCAACTCTACCCCTACCCTGGTGTCACCCAACTCTACCCCTACCCTGGTGTCACTCAACTCTACCCCTACCCTGGTGTCACCCAACTCTACCGCTACCCTGGTGTCACTCAACTCTACCCCTACCCTGGTGTCACTCAACTCTACCCCTACCCTAGTGTGCCCCAACAATACCCCTACCCTGGTGTCTGCTAGCTCTACCCCAACCCTGGTGTCAGTCAACTCTACCCCTACCCTGGTGTCACTCAACTCTACCCCTACCCTAGTGTGCCCCAACAATACCCCTACCCTGGTGTCCGCTAGCTCTACCCCAACCCTGGTGTCACTCAACTCTACCCCTACCCTGGTGTCCCCTAGCTCTACCCCTACCCTGGTGTCACCCAACTTTACCCCTACCCTGGTGTCCTCCAACTCCACCCCTACCCTGGTGTCGCCTAGCTCTACCCCTACCCTGATGTCCCCCAACTCTACCCCTACCCTGGTGTCACCCAACTCTACCCCTACCCTGGTGTCCCCTAGCTCTACCCCTACCCTGGTGTCCCCTAGCTCTACCCCTACCCTGGTGTCACTCAACTCTACCCTTACCCTGGTGTCACCCAACTCTACCCCTATCCTGGTGTCTCTCAACTCTACCCCTACCCTAGTGTGCCCCAACAATACCCCTACCTTGGTGTCACTCAACTCTACCCCTACCCTGGTGTCACCCAACTCTACCCCTACCCTGGTGTCCCCTAGCTCTACCCCTACCCTGGTGTCACCCAACTCTACCCCTACCCTGGTGTCCCCTAGCTCTACCCCTATCCTGGTGTCACCCAACTCTACCCCTACCCTGGTGTCCCCCAACTCTACCCCTACCCTGGTGTCACCCAACTCCACCCCTACCCTGGTGTCACCCAACTCCACCCCTACCCTGGTTTCCCCTAGCTCTACCCCTACCCTGGTGTCCCCCAACCCCACCCCTACCCTGGTGTCCCCTAGCTCTACCCCTACCCTGGTGTCACCCAACTCTACCCCTACCCAGGTGTCACCCAACTCTACCCCTACCCTGGTTTCACCCAACTCTACCCCTACCCTGGTGTCCCCAACTCTACCCCTACCCTGGTGTCCCCTAGCTCTACCCCTACCCTGGTGTCCCCTAGCTCTACCCCTACCCTGGTGTCCCCTAGCTCTACCCCTACCCTGGTGTCCCCTAGCTCTACCCCTACCCTGGTGTCCCCCAACTCTACCCCTACCCTGGTGTCCCCTAGTTCTCCCCTACCCTGGTGTCACCCAACTCTACCCCTACCCTGGTGTCCCCTAGCTCTACCCCTTCCCTGGTTGGTGACGATGGGTGTGGGGCACTGGACTAGTGCAGATTTCGCTCAGAGTTGATACCAATCTTGGCCAGGAGTTGAACTTAAGTTGCTCCACCAGTGCGCTAATCACCTCTCCACCCACTCTCCCACTAACGCAAACCCATCTCTAACCCTACCCTTAGGGATATACCCTGAACCTACCAACCTACAATCGGTGCCTGTAACCCTGCTCCCAGCTCTGCTACCTGCAAACCGAGGCCCAGCTTGGACCCTAATCCTAACCTTTATCCGAGCTCTAAACAAACCCCCAAAACTCAACCGTTACTCCAAACCGTAAGGTTCCCTACATCAACTCTAACCCAATTGCCCAATGCTTAACCCTCACCATTATTTACTACCTCGCTAACTCCGTCTCTGCCGTCTGTGTTCGTCGTGTGCAGGGAGGCTGGCGGCGGCTGGTGGGGCAGCTGGATTCACTCCACCCTGGAGACGGCGCGGAGCAAGGTGAGGAGCGAGGAAACCCACGGGGACACGGTGACACGGAGTAAACAGGAAGTAAACATGAAGAAGACAGCACCGTGAGACAATGGGAGACGAGCCATACGGAGATTGAGCAGAAGAAACATTGGGGAACTTGGCAGACACAAGGAGAAAAGTATTGAACCGGGAGATGACACAATGAGACAGCAGACATGGTAGATATGGTGGGAAACAATGGCATGGGAAACGGAAACATGGTGAGCGACCAGGAGAGATGACAACACAAGGTGACATTGTGGACATGGGATGTGGGAGAGATACATAGATATGGGATACACCGGCATCGGGGCAATGGACTAAGCAATGGACGAACTGGAGTAACGTCATTTCAGGACTACCTGCAGAGAAACAAGCACCTTAGCAAATATAAACTTTACTCAGAGTAACTTTTCTGCCCGATGTTTGTTAATCTTGTGAATCTCTAGTTCATCATTCTACATGATATCTTCCACATTTACAGGTTTTAATAGCTATCGTTCCTTTGAGTGGGAGTGAGGATTGCTAGTAGCAGGCATTTGCCATGGCACGCTATAAATCATGGTATGCACTTTGAGATGTATGTATGTTTAACTTCTTTGCACTGCATGTCGCCAGTCATGCTAATCGGAGGTGTTCATTGCATATGAAGCAGAAGAGATGCCCGTGACCCTGTGAAATGTGGTTGTTGATGCAAACGAATGGTTGCCATTGAGTGTGCCACTCCGAGGTGAAGGCTCCGCTCTACGGGCTGTGGCCTGCATAGCCCCTAGACTCTGGCACGGTTTGCCAAAAGACTTCAGGGATTTTACTTAAATTGAGATGTTTGTTTCAACTTAAAAATTCCTATATAAGAAGGCTTTAATCTCATTTTATCTTCAGGCTCTTCCCCTCCTTTTCTTATTATGATTAGATTGTTTTTTTATTGAAAGGTTGTTATGCTTATTGCTTCTTTCTTGTTCTGCATATTGTGTACAGCACCGTATGATCCATGGACAAAGATCGCTCAAGCCCTCCAACTTATTATTCACGTATCATTATTAATTCATGATTATTAATATATTGTTACGACTCCACGTGGCTGTGTCCGCATCTCCACAGTCGTCGGAAGCGCTGGAGTTCATCAAGCGCGACCTGACGGAGTTCACGGAGGTGGTGCAGCACGACACCACGTCGACCATCGCCGCCACCGCCTCGGCCATGCGCGACAAGCTCGCGGTGGGGCCATCCCCGCTCCCGCCGCCACTGCCCGTAGTGCTCCGTGACGCGCGTGACACTCGCGGCACCCACAACACCCTTGACCCCCGGTGCATCGATTGATTGATATGGATTCTTAACCCTGTCTTGTTCCGATGACGTACGTAGACGTACGTACACGTACGTCATCGGATTTTCTTCATTATCCATGACACGTGTCATCGGAACGAAATTGGAAGAAAAAAATGATAACTTTATTGGTTACGAGGCTTCCACACAGCCATGCGGGATTGATTGTGGCACAATTTGGCGCTAGCTATCGTAGAGTGCAGTCGTGTTGCTACAGTTCCCTGCGGTGAATACAATGTCTTTAAAAGCAATGGTGCTATGCCTCTAAATAAAATTTACATTGAACCGCTTACGAGTTCCAAGATTCAGCGGTGAACGGGACCCACCCTGCAACTTGCAGTCATCTAGGAAAGGGAAAAGGTTAAGTTGTGATCGATACATGTCAAGCTGATGGTACATGTATCATATTTTGCATTCAATAATCGGTTTAAGTTTTTATGCAACTATATGCAAATAATATGCTGATCCGACATTGACTAATGTAGGGAACAAATATGCAAAACGAGGCACAAGAAACAAAAAGCGATTTAAAACAACGCAAAAAAAGGAATTGATTATTGAATCGGCCCCCGAATTGCTGGGGGTGCTGAATCGTCACTTGCATACTACATGTGCATTTAACACGTAAATACATTTGCTGAAAGTCAATGCAATAGTAAATTCACATAATTGTCAATTGCATGTGTGATGGATCAATGTACAGTGTAACACGTGTACAGTTCGTGGCTATGGCCATTCTGCTGCTGATTTATCTCATTGTCTGCTGTTCTGTGTGGTGTTCAAACCCATTTAATCTCCTACGGACAACTGTTTTGGCCTTGTCATAGAGAAATCGTTATTATTGATTCTAGTGGCAGTTGCCGACAGCTTGACCTAGAAAAGAGTACCACCGTGCACGGCAGGCCTGGCTGCCCCGGTCGCGGTGTCAGGCTCTGGGGTGGTCGCTTGCTGTGTGTGTTGTTACCAGAGCTCTCCCTAGGGTGCGGCGAATTGGAGCGACTACCCCGGGCCCCCCTCGTTTTATAGGGGACCCCGTGCCTCAACCTCACCATGTCAGATGTAGTACTTCCGGTTTTGTTTGAAAGCGTTGGGGGGGGTGGCCCACACAGTGTGATTTGCCCCGGGCCCCCACGCACCCTCACTATGACTGTCCCCGCTCGTCACTGGTGTCGTCACTGGTGTCGTCACTGGTGTCGTCACTGGTGTCGTCACTGGTGTCGTCACTGGTGTCGTCACTGGTGTAATTACTGGTGTCGTCACTGGTGTAGTCACTGGTGTCGTCACTGGTGTCGTCACTGGTGTAATTACTGGTGTCGTCACTGGTGTCGTCACTGGTGTCGTCACTGGTGTCGTCACTGGTGTCGTCACTGGTGTCGTCACTGGTGTAGTCACTGGTGTAATTACTGGTGTCGTCACTGGTGTCGTCACTGGTGTAGTCACTGGTGTCGTCACTGGTGTAGTCACTGGTGTCGTCACTGGTGTCGTCACTGGTGTCGTCACTGGTGTCGTCACTGGTGTCGTCACTGGTGTAGTCACTGGTGTCGTCACTGGTGTCGTCACTGGTGTCGTCACTGGTGTCGTCACTGGTGTAGTCACTGGTGTCGTCACTGGTGTCGTCACTGGTGTCGTCGCTGGTGTAATCACTGGTGTCGTCACTGGTGTAATTACTGGTGTCACTGATGTCGTCACTGCTGTCGTCACTGGTGTCGTCACTGGTGTCGTCACTGGTGTAGTCACTGGTGTCGTCACTGGTGTCGTCACTGGTGTCGTCACTGGTGTCGTCACTGGTGTAGTCACTGGTGTCGTCACTGGTGTCGTCGCTGGTGTAATCACTGGTGTCGTCACTGGTGTAATTACTGGTGTCACTGATGTCGTCACTGGTGTCGTCGTTGCACACCCAGGCTGACGGCTCGACGGACACGGGGCGGAAGATGAAGGAGAGCCTCTCGAGCCTGTTTGGGGTTATCTCCGACGCGTTTTCACCCTCGCCTGACCGAACCCTGGACTGCGACGAGGTGGCCTTGGTGGCGACTCCGGACGGCTCCACGGAGCCCTACGACCGCGTCAAGGTCTTACGTTTTGCTGTGCTCTGTGTCTTTCTGTTATCCCCACGTGTTCCCTGGATTTATCTTCATTTTACAAAACAGTTTTTAACTCGCAACCCAAAATATTAAAGGGTATGGAAGAGTGTTTAAAAAAAATGTCTAAAATAATTATGAACATCGATTTTTACACTTAGGATATGCATATCTGATCTTGTGTGTAAGAATCTGTTTAATCCTTAGTATACGATTGGTTCACGTAAACCCTGCAGCAACCATAGGCACTACTTTCACCATTACATCACAACTTTACATCAGGACAATTCATAGAATTGTAATGCGGCTAAATCATTATGTACTGAAAAATATACAAGGACCAAATACTTTATTTAAGAACTGACTAAACAAAAGTATCACACATTGTATGGCTGGTGTAAGTCTAGGCTATGTGGATGCATATCAACGCAGTGTTGTGAGGTGAGGTTCTGTGTGTTGATTGAACATGACGCTTTGCAGGCCCGGCTGTACAGCCTGCAAGCCGACCCTGCCACGTACTGCAATGAGCCTGATGGTGAGCAGAGCGCAGTGCACTCTCACTCCTTGTTAACGTAAGGTGTAACCCAAGAAATAAATGAACGGGTCTCATTTTGCAGATGCAGACTTAAGCTGTATTGGTGCTGTGTCCACAGCTGCGCTGCATCTCGTTCGAAACTTCCACAGTGAAAGAATGGACTTAAAATCACGCTCGGACATGTAATCATGGCACTCTAGGTATATCACTGTCACGTCACTCTCGTGTATTTTTATGCAGCGGCAATGCGGTGAAATGTATGTTGAACTTCTTTTGTACTGTACGTATCCAACCGTGCTAAGTGGAGGCGCGATATCACGCGATATGGAGTGTTTGACAGTGATTTTAAAATCTTGTTTATTAACAAAGCTTAAACTTGTGTTGGGCAGCCTGGGATACACGCATTGTTGGTGTGCCTGCAAGGTGAGAGCTGTGTTTTGTGGATTGGGTCTTCCTGTAAGTATATCATCCAAATGGCCTTGTATGTATTGCTCCATCAACTTGCCTTGCTGAGTCTCAAAACCTGTTTTTCGGAAGGATTCCGTATTGGGATTTGTAATCACTTTCTTTTTTTATAGCGACAAACTGTGTGGCAATTGGCACTTAGGTGCTTCAGAGTAGCCTGAACAAATTGTAGGATATAGTTGTATCTCATCACATGGATTCGAGAACATATATACAGTGAGGGAAAAAAGTATTTGATCCCCTGTTGATTTTGTACGTTTGCCCACTGACAAAGAAATGATCAGTATATCATTTTAATGGTAGGTTTATTTGAACAGTGAGAGACAGACTAACAACAAGAAAATCCAGAAAAAAACGCATGTCAAAAATGTTATAAATTGATTTTCATTTTAATGAGGGAAATAAGTATTTGACCCCCTCTCAATCAGAAAGATTTCTGGCTCCCAGGTGTCTTTTATACAGGTAACGAGCTGAGATTAGGAGCACACTCTTAAAAGGAGTGCTCCTAATCTCAGCTTGTTACCTGTATTAAAGACACCTGTCCACAGAAGCAATCAATCAATCAGATTCCAAACTCCACCATGGCCAAGACCAAAGAGCTCTCCAAGGATGTCAGGGACAAGATTGTAGACCTACACAAGGTTGGAATGGGCTACAAGACCATTGCCAACCAGCTTGGTGAGAAGGTGACAACAGTTGGTGCGATTATTCGCAAATGAAAGAAACACAAAAGAACTGTCAATCTCCCTCGGCCTGGGGCTCCATGCAAGATCTCACCTCGTGGAGTTGCAATGATCATGAGAACGGTGAGGAATCAACCCAGAACTACATGGGAGGATCTTGTCAATTATCTCAAGGCAGCTGGGACCATAGTCACCAAGAAAACAATTGGTAACACACTACGCCGTGAAGGACTGAAATCCTGCAGCGTCCGCAAGGTCCCCCTGCTCAAGAAAGCACATATATATGCCAGTCTGAAGTTTGCCAGTGAACATCTGAATGATTCAGAGGACAACGGGGTGAAAGTTGTGGTCAGATGAGACCAAAATGGAGCTCTTTGGCATCAACTCAACACGCCGTGTTTGGAGGAGGAATGCTGCCTATGACCCCAAGAACACCATCCCCACCGTCAAACATGGAGGTGGAAACATGCTTTGGGGGTGTTTTTCTGCTAAGGGGATAGGACAACTTCACCGCATCAAATGGACGATGGACGGGGCCATGTACCGTCAAATCTTGGGTGAGAAGTTCCGTCCCTCAGCCAGGGCATTGAAAATGGGTCGTGGATGGGTATTCTAGCATGGCAATGACCCAAAACACACGGCCAAGGCAACAAAGGAGTGGCTCAAGAAGAAGCACATTAAGGTCCTGGAGTGGCCTAGCCAGTCTCCACACCTTAATCCCATAGACAATCTGTGGAGGGAGCTGAAGGTTCGAGTTGCCAAACGTCAGCCTCGAAACCTTAATGACTTGGAGAAGATCTTCAAAGAGGAGTGGGACAAAATCCCTCTAGAGATGTGTGCAAACCTGGTGGCCAACTACAAGAAACGTCTGACCTCTGTGATTGCCAACAAGGGTTTTGCCACCAAGTACTAAGTCATGTTTTGCAGAGGGGTCAAATACGTATTTCCCTGATTGAAATGCAAATCAATTTATAACATTTTTGACATGCGTTTTTCTGGATTTTTTTGTTATTCTGTCTCTCACTGTTCAAATAAACCTACCATTAAAATTATTGACTGATAATTTATTTGTCAGTGGGCAAACGTACAAAATCAGCAGGGGATCAAATACTTTTTTCCCTCACTGTAGGTTCACGACAAACCAAATGGGCTTTGGCAGGACGCTCAAGAAGGCATACACCACGGAAATGGAGCGATAAAATCAGCTTGTGTGCAGGTGCTAGGTGGATTGTTACATCCACTTTGTTCGTTCCATTCTCGCGACAGCGAGAGATGGCAACAGATTGGGGAGGCTTTCATGGCTGCTGCTGGTGCTGATAGTGATAACGGTGTCTCAACCTGAGAATGGTTCTTAGCAGAGTCTCCGTACCACGCGTGTGTGTGCGTGCACTGCGCCCAGGCCTCCAGGAGCATTTTATGTCGTGGGCCGAGAGCTTCAGCCTGGAGGAGTGCAAGGCGGAGACGGCGGAGCTGCTGGTCGCGTGCCCCGCGATCCGCGCCCTCTACACGCGCCTGGTGAGATGGCGCGGTCACGGCTGCCCTTAACCAGGAGCCACCGACGGGTACACCGACGTGTCCACCACAGTGAGGCACCTCTTGTCCGCGCCGATGTGCCGGCGCTATTGGTGGATCCCAGTGTCTGTATTTGACGTCAGAAAGTGCTCCTATTAGCTGCATGGATAGATGCGGATAAAGAGGGTTAAATTGTCATCACTTTTGGGTCACTCTGTGTCTGTGAAAAGCCGCATTAGTGGTCAGCACTTTCCCACCCGCCCTGTGATCAAACCAAAAGATTGAGCTCTCAGTTACGGAATAAACACGGATGAAAAGCCTATTGTTGTATTTCTCTCACTATAGCAGTGCAGGTGGGAAGATAGCTCCATGGCGACTGACAGGCCTATTGAAGTCGCTTCAAAAGTAGCCCTTCAACATCTTCCAGGGGCATTCTCGTGACACGGTGGTGCACTTCTTGCTGCGACAGTTCAGAACGGGAATTTATTCATCGTCTGATGTGACACTGATAGCACAATTTGAATATAATAGAAGAGGGGGGATTAACTGCAGTGGTTGACAATGTTTTTTTTAAGGGGTACTTCTGCTCAAGCAGGTTCGAAAGTGGAATGAACCCCGGAACTGTTTGCGGTGGTAATCACCCACGCAGGTGCCTGCGGCCGTGTCCCACCTGGAGTTCTGGCACCGCTACTTCTACAAGGTCTACCAGTTGGAACAGGTGTGTACGTCTGTGTGTTGAACTTCTTTCGCGCCGTACCTAGCCAACCGTGCTAAATGTTGCCAAGTGACTGTGCGAAGGGTTGTGAGAGGCACCCTTTGCGCAGTCACTTGGCTCTCGCTAATGCTGTTGGCCTTACTCCGTAGAGCCAATGGAGTCTCCTCCTCGGTTTGTTTGATAGCCACAGTGTGCTGCTGGTAGTATTATTCCATCTCTCCAAACGGTTTATCGGGAAGAGGCATTTTCCCGTTTACAGACGGGTGTCTGGAATGTGCAGGTCCTAAGGTGGGTTGAAAATTGAGCCGTATGAATAACTATCCATGTTGTTCCCCAGTCCCCTTCCATTGCTTCTGTGCATGCTTAAGCCAGTCATCTGCAGGTGGAGAATAAACATTGCAAAGTGATTGATTTGATAACATCGTTTATGTAATACTAAATTTGAAACAAGTTGGCTTTATTAGTTTCATTTTAAAAGAGCTTCTCGTGCTGTTTGCGTGGATCTGCTTAGTTTTTGTAGAATGAACGAATTGGACGGAAAGATCACGAACAAAAGCGACGTTCGGCGCCGGTGAACGGCGCGTGCCATCTGAGCCTGGTGCGTGCCTGACCCTTTGCGTGTGCGAGAAGGACGAGGCACGGAGAGCTGATCTGATGAAGAGGGCAGACCCCAGCAGCCAGGACAAGGAGCTGGGCTGGGAAGATGAGGAGGGTGAGTCTGCGGGTGCGCCACTTCCCCCCCACATGACGCAGCCATAACATTTCACCGTTGCTGGGTTATCAGGAGCGTGGGTTCCATGCCTGCTTCTCTGATAGTCATACGCGATATGCATTCTACAAGTAAAGGCTTACTGCGCTGGTGTAAAGAAACACCGCAATGTTGTAACTTTTGGGCCTGTGAAAATGTGCTCCCACGAAGTCGTGATTTTATTTCAGAATGTTTAATTTTAATGTTGTGGTGCTTTGTTGTGTCTGTAGTGCCTGAAGGCGTCATGTTAATTAGACACAAATGAGAGACATTTTGGACTGACTGGTCTTCAGTTTTTTTTATTTTATTTATGAGAACCGTTGCATGAAACGTAATGATCTCTCGTCTCGGTGACAGGAAACATCCCTGTATTTTTGTAAAGGTGCTGAGAGCTTACTCGTCGCTGTGCTGGGGAAATGTGTCCATCTTTCTGAGGGCACTTCACGAGTTTAACATGAGAACATGTCAATTCCCCGTCAAACGGTAACTATTAAACTGGTCACACAGCTTGCCAATACCAGTGTCCACATCTCTTAAAGATTTTGGACAACAATGGCAACAAAATTCTTACAGAGATATCTAATTAAATAAATTAATGACGTTATTTTTAATTCCAGTGCAATTAGCATGCGAGTGTGTGGGTGTAACAAAGTGACGTCGCGCCCCTGAATGGACCAGCTTTTCAGCTTGTAATTAACACGTTATCCATTTTACAAGTTAAATGAGATAGCAACTTGAAATGCAGGAGTAGGTGAGCTGAGCTTAGTGCGTGCTCTGCCACCGCCCGTGTGCTCCAGCAGACGATCTCCTGGACTCCAAGAAGGAGAGCAGAGTCGGCCACGTCCGCCCCTCCCACCCCGAGGCCGACGGGACCCGCCACGAGCCCCCCTCCGCGGATGCGCCGCACCCCCCGAGCTCGCCGGCACAGACGCTGAGCGAACTCACGGAGACGGCGCTCTCGTCGAGCGGGCCCCCCGCCCGCCACGATTCCGACAAACCGACCCCCTCCTCGCCCGCCGCGGACTCGAGGGCTGACGCCGGCGCCGCGCCTGACGCTCTCCCCCCTTCCGCGTCCTCGGAGACCGTGACCTCCTCGGACACGGTGACCGCGGAGACGCTCGTGTCGCGCGCGGCCGCCGCCGGAGACGGCGGCGCGGGCGAGCGGAGGGACTCGGCGTCCCCGACGCCTCCTCCCGCGGCCGGCAAGGACGAGGCGGTGACAGACCTGCGCGTGCTGGAGCTGCGGTCGGACAGCGGCAAGTCGACGCCGTCCAACAGCGCCAAGATCGGTACGGCGCCGCCCGTTGCTCTCGCCATCCCCTTTCTGTGACCTTCTGGGTCTTGGGGGGCGCCACTGGGGGGCGGCTCTTGTCTCTCCGTTGTCTTCGTGGTCTCTACTCGGCTGCCTTTGCGTTGCGTGGTTTTCACGTTTCGGCTGGACTCTGGCCGGAGTTGGGTTTTGTGTCATGCGCACGTCATGTAAGCTGTGGAAAAGGTGCTTGCACCACAATGGAAATAAAACGTAATACTCACTCGACATTAATGTCACATGCTGTGATGATAAGGTCACGTCTCTAACTGTGCGGTAGCTGCAAATATTTTGACTGATGCATGTGGATTCTTGCAGGCTCCAGCACAGACATCAGCGAGGACTGGGAGAAGGAGTTTGAACTGGACATGACGGAGGAGGAGATACAGCAAGCGCTGGCCAAAGCAGAGGCGTCTGGGGAGGTGCTACGCCTCTTTGACCTTTAGTCCATCCGTTTGCGGCGAAGCTCGCCCTTAGCCGGGTTATCGGAACGCCGGTTTGTCCGAATCCCATCCTTTGTCTTGCACTCCCATATTTGATCACTAAAGGCAGGTGCCGTTGTCGGCCACTAGAGGGCGCTGAAGTCCCGTTAAATTTGCCCTCATGTTTGTGTATCTGTGTTTCATTTGTTGTGTGTGTGTGTTGCACACATCGTTTGTTTTTCATGCATGTGGTTTATTTTATGTTTCTGCGTGCTGCATGTGGTTTGAGCTTACGTCCGCTTGCATCTACGCTTGCATCTACGGAATAATCCTGACTGATGGCCACTGACGGCGACTGCCCCTGTGTGTGCGTTCTGCGTGTGTGTGCGTGTGCGTGTGTGCGTACGACTCTTAGATGGAGGGCGACTGGGAAGACTGGGAGTGAGCGACATGAGCGGCACGTCGACCCTGTCTTAACCCCCCTCGCTCCGCCTTCCTCTGTCCGGCGGCGGCGGCAGCGGTGGTGGCAACCGTTTCACCTCCCGCGCCCCGCGTGGCGTGCTCTCCACGGCCGTTTCACATCACCGCAAAGTGTGGCTTTGCCCGGGACCTTATCATTTCTTCACGAGAGTTTTGGTCATTTGATAAAAAGTGGCAGTACGTGTACGTGCATGGCCACCTCACACTTGTCCGGTGGCCGGTCCAGCAGACAGGCTGGGGATAGGCCGCTGTAGGGCCTCGGTGGACCTTGTGGAATCTTGAGTGAGATGGGAGGCACTTCCAGTCGTAGAGGATTTCATCTGTTTAGGCTTCCTAAGGCCACCACTTATACACTCGTGCACGTTAGTTAAATTTTTCTTTCTTCCGCAATTCATTTTGCTTATGGATTGTGAGAAGCAGAACTTAGAGAAGCGACAACGGTAAGGGATTTCTGAAGGCGTAAAATCTTAGGTTTTTTTGGTACACAAAAAAACTTTATGTTTGGCATGCTGCAAATGAAGATCACGCAGCCAAAGTTCTTTCATCTAAAGTGCGAATAATATTGCCGTTAAAAAGTTCCAGCAATGCCGCACGTTTGCTTGTGATGTTGTGCGATGTAGCGACAGCGGGTGTCACGGTCTGCGCTGGCAGTTGAAGCAGCAACCTGCGAAGTGACTGATGCCATAGACGTCTCTCACCTGTATGTATTACATTGTAAATTACTCTTGACAAATCATAGTGCCATTCTTATTATTGCTATTATTCTATAAGTATATGTGGCTTTTAATAGCTATAATTGAATTCTTAAGTACGTCTCCATACCTGCATGATTTAAAGTAACAGTCTGCGTCATGACATGCTCGGGGGGTGTGTGTGTGTGTGTGATCCAAGTGTGCAATATGAGAGGGTCAGCTCTGGTGATGGAGAGATTGCCATCCCTGCTCATCTCTGGCTCCCAATGTGTCTTATGGATGGATAGCAGCACCAGACAGAACTACTGTGGCCGTGAAGCTCTTGCGCCTCTTCGGAGGCTGCTGTGAGCCACGCGGCCCATCCGTTGACATCCGCAGTGTAGTTGAACCGACGACGCTCGCGCTCAGCAGCTGATCGCGCCCACCCCTGGAGTGTGCATTCTCTCGGGGCATAATTGGAAAAGCAATTGTAGATAATAGTTTCGACTCTTTTTAAGCTTAAAGCAGAATGACGCTCGTTAATATTTCTCAAGTTCGAACACTAGATTCGGCCGCAGTAGCACTCGACGACTGTTCAGATGCCGCCAGTTGTACCGTCGCTTGTGTGTGGTCATGAGGTGGGAGGACAGCCTGCCTTGCCGATGGCCGCCTGAGCGTTTTTGGCAGCGGCAGCAGTAGCAGTAGCTCCTGCTGGAGCTACCTGCTGTACCCGGGGGTCATCGGAGACGTACACACCCAAGAGCGGCTTCACCTCCCGCGCCCTGTGTGGAGTGGTCATGAAGCGGAGAACGGTGTTACTTGAAGGCGGACCGTCGGTCTGGCAAAGCTGACTCGGTGGCTGGGTTTGGACGTGACCGGAGTGAGAAGGCGAACTCCGGTTCGCACCTTGGTCTGCTTCTGAATTGTCTTCATCAGTTGAACTTTAAACATTTGGGCAAGCACTTAAATGTTTCAGTATGGACACAATGAGAATAGGTCATGGTTGGCTATGCCTTAGGAAGTAGTTTAATTTGGAATTAGCATAAATTGATCCAGAGTGTGGAAATATTGGATCCTGTGGTTCGGTACTATTTCTCATGTATTTACAGTTTGGTAAACACGTAGGCTTATTCAAAATGTGTTTTGCATCGACTGGGCAGTTGTGTTACTTGTAAGACAAGGCAGAGTCCATGTAAACATAAACCTAATGATTTACCCCATCAGCCCTCGGATTTTCGGGACCAGTGTTTTTCTCCAATAATGTTTAATTTGGAAACTTGAGCAGTTGATATTTGTTTTGTAAATTATGATGTTTTAGCCAAGAGCCAGCCATGAACACCCATTATGTGGTCCGTTTAGTGTCAGAACAAGGTCATTGTTCAAAACCCGCCTTTGAATTTGGCTGGGATATTTAATTAGTTTTAAGTTCAATATTTAACGCTCACTAGTTCTACTCAGAAATTGAGGCCTTTTACTTTATTGGACTCGCCCATTCGTGTGAGTTCACTGATACCTTGGAAGCCATGTGTGTGTGTATGCATTGGCTTGTACGTCTCCCTGTTGACACAGGTGCGAGCTGCTGCCATCTACAGGATGCGGAATACAATACATTGCCATGCATCATCACGAGATATCTTTTTCATTTCCGCACTTGCTGTGCGCAAGGAAATTAGCAGCAGAGTTGGGAGATGTTAAAAGACACTCTCCACAGACGGAACTGTACATAAATGTCCTGTTTAGAAGAACTCTAGTAGCCAGGCGAAGTGATGCCTATCTTTGATCCAGCACTGTGGAAACTAAGACTTGGTGGATCACGGATTTTGTGAAAGTCCCAAACCATTTTAGGGCTGCGTGGTGACCTGGGGAAAGGTATCGCAGCAAATATGTTTTTTTTTTATCCTGTGTAGAACTTGGACCGTTAGCTTAGTAATGCGTGCTGTGTTTTCTCCTGCGTCCCCAATTTTCTCTCGCATGCCACTCATTCGTGGAATTAGCCAAAACATCCCAGTGCAGGGCCCTCCTGATAATGTAAAGTACGTTACCTCGGAGCTTCCCTGCATCAACAGAGGGTATTGTTCCTAGAAGGGCACTGCCCTTTAAGCAATACTTCACTATTACCACAACGTGGTATTTGTGCGTTCCGCTAATGAGCATGCGCTGGGGGTGTATGTATGTTGAACTTTCACACCGCATGTAGCCAACTGTTCATCGGAGGTGTGAAAATGCGCACCAGGAAGCCCGCGTTCCCCTCGAGAAGCGATGGTGAGCCCCGTTACTGAAGCTGTTCCGGTAGAGTGCCTGCCAGACTTGTGCCGGAGCAGTGTCTCACGATGGCAGGCTCACCGCAGCTGTTTTGGTAACTGTTGGAGCCCGGAGTCTGGCAGCGTCGCCGTACGGTACACAGGCCGCTCGAACGGCCTGGCAGATGTCTGGTCCACTTGTCAACGCGGTCGTGGCTCATAGGTCCAGTTTGGGGGGAACAAAACTCTTGACTCGGGTTTGCTTAGTTTTAGGCGGTGTGCACAGGTGAATTCATTAATTCCCTGGAATTAAATGAGTTTCTGAATTGGGGCTGTAGACGAGTGTGTGTAGTCGGTGTGGCTTTACAGGAGAACCGGTCTGCTGGGAGCGTAGGCCTGCTGCATTATCACAATTAAAATTCTGAACGAGTCCACCTGCATGTGGAATCCAAGCCTGGAGAAACCTGAGACGTGGTTTGTAGCTGCCACCGTCTTCAACTAAATTCAGTGTGCGTATTTTCAGTGCTGTAAACGAGCTACAATAAAAGAGCTTTTCTCCGTAATTGACACGGGGATGCTTTTGTTGAGTCTGCTGTAACGATGTGCCACGACTTGCCACGGGATGTCAGCTGAGTGGGGTTACACGTCGCGATGAAGTGGCAAGTGTGTGGCGCCTCTGATACCTCGCCACGTGGCCCGTTGCTGGGTAGGTGGCGATGGCCCTGACGAGCCGAAGCTCTGGGCACGCTCGTCTTGGACTGTCCGGTCTTTGGAGTCGCAGCCCTGTCTGCTCACTGTGGCCATTATTCCCCCATTGTAAAACTGCTTGTATTTAGTTTGTCTTTACCCCGCACCTCCACTTGGCACGGTTGGCTATGTACGGTGCGAAAGAGGTTCAACATACGTACACATAGAGGACAGCAGAGCTTGGGCAATTGTTGGCGCCTGTTTACCGCGTGGCTGCTGCTGCCGCCCTCCCGCTTGTCTGTGGTACCTCGCGCCTCTGAGTCGTCCCCTCGCTTCAGAGCGAGCAAACATTATGCTTATGATGAATGTGGTACAGGCACAGGTACCACATTCATCATAACCGCAAGTTGAACTTATGCTTATGATGAATGTGGCACCTGTGCCACTGAGAATGTGAAAACACGCGTCTCAACATTTAAGCACCGGTTGTGAAAAAAACTCAATATTGCTTTATTTTTATTTCGTTTGCAGCAAATATACGTCGGGGGATAAAATAAAAAGCCACAAGCACTACTAGAGGATATACATTGACACGACTCAAGGCCGAACGGCAGCCCGAGCGCTTCCCCTATCGCTTGCCCTTAGCACCAGTCATGGGAACACTCCCCGTCACCCTTGAGGCCATCCGTGATCAGGAGCTCACAGATGGCGCACGAGTGCGGCCAGCCATGTTGGCCAGTGGTTGGCACCGTGCGAGTAAGGAGATCGTGTGTTCTGTTACCGCTTCCGCTGACCCGCGTGTGAGCCGAGTCTGTCAAGCGCGTTCACAGCCCTACACGCCAGCGAGCGCCGTAGCCGTGAAGCCTTTGCCGTGGCATCTTAAGAAATATTTTGCATCGTTCTCCCATCTGATTTCTGTACCGCCGGCCGTTTTAGCGCACGATGTCACGACGTTTTTGCTCCACGTTCCTGGAGCCGTCGTCAAGAAGCAAAACATCGGAGGGAGGGAGCTACCGAGAACCGCGGCGTCCTTCGCTGCGACGTTCACTGCGTCGAGCGTCGTGCATGCATGCGGGGACATTGTATCCGCATCAACTCGGTGCCTCTGCAGTCGTAAGGGCCACAGGTGTGGCTTTTCAGCGGTTCTGGGAGGGAGCTGAGTTCAACTGTCGCCTTGGCGCCGCTCGGAGCTATGCCCCACAAGCTCGCGACCCCTTGGCCTCTGCAGCTCGGCCATGTGAACGAGCGCTTGACGACAGGACGCTGTCGTTCTGTGAAGAATCCCGCTGGGGATTAAAAGCCCACCGTGGGCTGTGCTCGCAGTTGCTGCGTCCAAACGACCAATCCTGCGTGGGCGCTCGATTACACGTGGAGGCAGCAGCCGTGGTTTCTTCCAATACACAATAGGCCAGTGGGCCAAATAAATTGACCTCACATCTGGATTGTCACTTCGAAGGAATGGATGGGTGGCCACCACGCATCACACAGGCGCTATATGCTGCTGCGGGGCTACATTGTCAGCAGAGCACTGTGCAGCGCACAGCATTGTTCCGCAGTGGTGCTCCAACGCCTATGCTGTCCGCCTTCACTTATCTGCGCTGACCAGCCTGAAGGATGCTTAAACAACCCACGCGACCCACAAGGCATGGGGAGGCCCTCGTCCAGCAGTGGAATAACAAAGAGGGCTTGTGCAATCATTGCAGAGGATTTTAAACGCCTGTCTGCCTTTTTGTTCTCTTCACGGTGGAATTGTCTCAGTGTTCCGTGAGCTCCGTAAGCCGCACACAACGTGATGTTCATTGCTCGGCAAGGGGGGTACTTAGGGGGTACATGCAATTTGTGGTAACGCTAACATTAATTTGTCGTTAGGCTGAGCGAGCTGTTTGATTGCTCCTGAGTTTGTGCCGCATGATACACTGTAACATTATATTAGGAAATGGTTTACGTGGTTAAGAGTTATTTCATCATCGTGACTTTATAATTCTGCATTATACTGACTTCCCCCATCACCGCCCACCCCTTGTATTCCAATTGTAATTTCAGCATCATGTGCTGAGATGAAGACATCCCATTCGATACTGTGCAGCCTGAAGTGTACCACCTTGTGTCGGAGAACGGCCGCACGAGATGAGATCACAGAACTATTTCTGAGGTCGCTTCAGTTGACCTCTTCGTCCACACGACTGTCACAACTTGGATACTCTGCAAAATGTGTTCATTATATGACACCGAACATTGCCAAAGCTAATTTAGTGTTTTGACTTAAAGCTTTCGTGACTGCAGGAATACATATTCTATGGGTCTTTCGGTAAAGCCTTGTAGATAGAAAAATAATAAAAAAATATCTCGACGTTTCGATCGCAACACAAGCAATCGTCTCACCTGAAGACGATTGCTTGTGTTGCGATCGAAACGACGAGATATTTTTTTATTATTTTTGCTTGTGTTGCGATCGAAACGTGAAATTATTTTTCTATTTACGTGGCTTTACCGAAAGACCCATAGAATACTAATTTTGTGTGATGGCTATTTTTTGCTTTCTTTGCAGTAATTTTCAAGCAGGCTGAGATGATCAACTCATCACACTTGAGAACACAGATCCATCACGGGCGGCTGAAACCTGGGATTCAATGCCAGGATTTCCATCGTGCTGGCTGAGCGCTCTGACCTTTAAGCCAACCTGGTCACCTTCACTGCCCCCATTCTTCAGTTGGAATAATGTGGCAGGCAAAGCACTTAACATGTAATGGTTCCAAACCTTGCAACATTAACAAGCAAGAAAAGCAAGCTGGCATTATCAGCGTAAATTAAATGAACAAGTGAGCACCTCGGCCCTGCAGTTACCAGGTAGAATAGTCCATGGGACAGAATGCAACTTGGTACCAACAAACGTAGCAACACCTTAGCCTTCTTTGGTTCTTTCGGTCAAGTCACGTAGAATGAGAATAAAATAATAAATTAATAAAATTAAATAACACAATAAAATTCTCACGACGTTTCGGCCACAACACAAGTGGCCTTCAGGTGAAGCTCTGTCGTCCCGACAGGTCTGTGCCTTTCACCTGAAGAAGGCCACTTGTGTTGTGGCCGAAACGTCGTGAGAATTTTATTGTGTTATTTTATTTTATCAATTTATTATTTTATTCTCATTGTACGTGACTTTACCGAAAGAACCAAAGAAGAAGAATCCTTGCAGTCACGAAAGCTTTAAATCGAAACACTTTAGCCGTTTCCGATTTAGGCGGCCGATGAGGGGTGAATTACTTGTCAACATCGCTCATTTAAAACGCTTGTCACGTAAATCACTGTGGCTGGCAACGTTCGGCAATTGGTGACACACGAGGGCGATGCCACCCCAGGAGGTTATTTACAAGTGAGATACCCTGGGTCTGGGACCATGGACCAGCAGCAAACATCCGGGCACCATCACGCCCACCGCGAATCAAGTACAGCCTGCTCTGCTGTAACGCCGCATGTTGTTTTCATAACGCGAATGGGATATAACGCGATTACATGTATTAGGGAAACATTTTTTATAACGCGGATGCGATTTGGCTCCAACGCGATTGAGTGAACGGAACTACGTCGCAGCGCGAGTAGGAACAAGCGGTCGTACGGCTGCCTCGGCGTAGCATCGCGCGAGGCGTTGGGATGCTGCTGGATTCTTCTAGATGCCACCCCCCCCCCCCCGTGCACCTCGGGCTTTGTTCGGCCTGCGTTACGCACCTCGCGCGTTATCGAGGGCTGGCGCTTTACCCCCCCCCCCCCCCCGTTCTAAATTATTTATTATAATTAGATTTTTCCAGAACGCGGTGTGATCTTCGGGAACGCGGCTAGCGGCGCCGTCATAGGAGAACACGGACCGTGTCGGCGCGCCAATAGGGGAGCTGTGAGAGAACCCTGGGGGCCACTGTGTCCGTCTGTCTGTGCTCTGCTTCATTGCGTGAGCATCAGTGAGACAGGTGTTCTGGAACCCGGCTGGCGTCGGCATCCGCTGCAGAAGAAGAGTTGCACGGCGAGGTCCGTTCGGTTTGTTGTCCTCCTACTCTGCACACTCTGATTAGCACGGTTGGCTACGTACGGTGCGAAAGAAAGTTCAACATGCAAACACATGCAGTACATACGAAGGGTGTGGTTGTGCTGAGCGGAAGTCCTCTTATTATCTTATGCACATTTTTAAATTCCTTTTCAATTTCGCTTCCATTCCAACATTAACCCCTTTGGGTTAAAGTGCGTACAATGGCTTTCGAGGCAATGGTAGTTGCCCCGTGGGGAAAAAATGTTTCCCCCACTATAAATGTGGAATTTCCATGGCTGGTTCGAGGCCACCGGCGGACATTAGCACCACCCCACGCTCATTTGAACATGGAGACACTTTGACTTTTTTTTTTAAATGGATTTCTTTAAGAAATAATTCTCGACAAAGTGCACCTAACGCATCGACCCTGTTCGGGGCACAAACTCGTAAGCAGTCGCCCACATTGTTATCACCAGGCCACTCGTCGGTTGCAGCTGCTGACATTCACAATCCAATCATTATCATCAACATCACTGCCATCATCATCACGATCATCCCAACACGGAGTCGCCGTCGCTGCTGTCGAACACGCGATCGCTCGACACGACACGACGCGCCGGCTCCGATCGCTCGCCTCTCGCACACGGAGCGTGATTCGCGCGTTGGTGAACCGGGTGACACGCGCCGTCGTGGGAGATGTCACCCTCCACATCTTCGGTGACGGAAACATTGCCGCATTTTCACCGGACACTGGATGGAGAGGCCGATTCTCCCAGCAGCACGTGGTGAGAGAGCATGCGTCGCCGAAGCCACTTTAGCGGCGGAACCATAAACTCCTTCACCGATTCGCACCTTGTCTTCCACGGACGGTTGTCCACGTACGCTGTGAACTATGCACACATCTTGACGAGTGACTGAAACACGTTTGGCCTGTCGGTAATGATGGAGACATCGGCGCGGTGTTGGAAAAAAATGAACGTTCGACAGTTACACGTCCATCGGGCCCGATAAATGCGGTAACGTTGGGATGTCGCGCAACAGATTGAACATCTGTTGTAACTCCCATAATAACCAGGGCTTCATTTCATCTGGATATGTCTGGATCGGCGACCCAGAAAATATATCCACACCCGGCGCCCCACATCCAGTAAACCTCTCCTCGCAGCAGGTGGCTACGACTAATCACGTGCCAGCCACTGCAATTGCATCGGCAGCGATCCGGAGGGGAATATTAGGTGAGAAATGAAGCCCTGGCGACGACAAGAGAGACCGCGCACAACGAGACGTTCGCTGCTCCCCTCTCGACGGATCTCCGGGGGCGGTTCGAACCGTTCTCAGCCTCGCTCAGTTCTCGATGGCGCGCGCGTTCCCCTCTTCCTCCTCCTGCTCCTCCTCCTTGAGCACCTGGAAGTTGCCGAGCTCGGCGAACATGTCGTTGGGGTTCACGCAGTCCCAGTGGCACGAGCAGCTCCGAACCCACATGACGTTCCACCTGACGGTCGTGGCGGTGCCGGTGGCGGCCCCCGCGGCACCGCCACCGGCGCGCCCTCCATCGTTGGGGCAGTCGAAGTCGACGGGGATTGTGTGCGTGCGCAGGGGCCGGCAGCAGCGCCCGTCCGTGCAGCCGCCGCAGTAGCGCAGCTGGAAGGCGGCGCGCGACACGCAGCCCGACAGCTCGAGGCGCACCGGCTTCTCCGCCACGTACACGCGCACGCACTTCTTGCCGTCCTGCACGCACGCACGCACGCGCGCGCGTCGTTCGTCATCTCGTGCTCGTCCGTCCACTGTGGGTCAGGGACACAGCGGTCGATGTTGCGTTCTTGCCCGCGGTACGGAGCCTGTTTTCGGCGCGCTGCTGGATGAGGGCCTCCCTGCGCCGTGCGAGTCATCGTGCTGGGGGTTATTTGGCCAAGGCTCACCACGCCGGTCATTGCGGGATGGCGAAGACGCGAAGCACAGACCCAGGAGCGCAGAAATAAAGTCCGACAATGGATTTTGCGGCACTCTTTCCTACGGAGAACTTTGTACAAAAGCTTTGGCCTGATACGATGCCAGAGGGGACGATGGCGGCCGGTGGTCGAGACTAACAACCGAGTGGCAGCCAAGGGAGGGAACGTGCCCGAGAGGGTGTCTACCGCGGAGACGGAGCGATCAAATCAGCCGATGTGCAATTATTACACCGTACGACTGTGAGCGGGAAGAATTGGGGGGGGGGGGGGGGGCGGCGCTTTGTTAAAACCTTAGATCCATCAGTAGCTTGGTCACGGCTGCTACCGATGCAGCTGCTGATGGACAATGGCGACGATAATGGTGATGCTGCTGATGCTAATAATGTCGATGATGCTGATGCAATTGCTGAATGCTGGCGGCGAGGTGAAATGTGCCGCTGCCGGCGCTCACCCGCACGCCCCGGGTGAGCGCGAGGTCGCACGGACGCACGAGGCAGAGTCGCCGCTCCTTGAGCAGGTGGCAGCTGGGGTTGTCGTTGGTGATGCGCGTGGAGATGCCCACGCCGCACGAGCGCGAGCACGCGCTCCACTCGGTGCTCTGCATCAGGCAGTTATTGTTCCACTGATTCCCGTGGCCGCGGAACACTCGGGGAGAGAGAGAGAAAGAGAGGGAGGGAGCGGCGGGGAGAGGGGAGACTTTGACTTTTCAACAACTTTTATTGCCGCCAAGCAGCAACAGCACTGGAGGCGATTCCGATATGAAATGCACAAAGTCACCAGCAACACAAATAAAACAAACGCTATGAATCCACGCGCTGTGGCGCTAAACCGGTCATGGCGCACGCCACGGTGACGAGCGAGCGCTTCGGGAGGTGAACACGAGGTGGGAGAGAGCGGCGCGAGTGAGAGGATGCTTTCCTGATCGGCGTTTTCAACTCGGGTACGCCGAGTACACTCCACTTACATTTATCGTCACTCAACCTTGGCAAGGACCACACGCCCTGCAGTGACACCCGTAACGCACGCCCTTGTAGGGTTGGCACTGATTAGACACACCCGCCAATGCGTGTGTGTGTTGAACTTCTTTCGCGCCGTACGTAGCTAACCGTGCTAATCGGGAGGTGCACCCATCAGGTGCACCCATCAGTAACATCGATCCGTGACACAGGCTCATGACTGGCACCCATCAGTGACTAATCGGAGGTGACACACACACACACACGCACACACACACGCACACACACACACACGCACACACACACGCACGCACACACGCACACACACACACACGCACACACGCACACACACACACGCACACACACACACCACGCACACACACACGCACACACACACACGCGCACACACACACACGCACACACGCACACACACACGCGCACACACACACGCACACACACGCACACACACACGCACACACACACGCACACACAACAACAACCGCCATTCGCCACTAAGTGGCGGTGACGTCACCACGACGCTTGTGCCAGGCTATGTGCACCCTGAGGCCACGTGAAGTGTCGAACGCCCGCTGGCAGGAGGTCACGGGGCAGACCCAGGTGCCACGGGTCGACTGACTGAGATGACTGGCTGATGCACCACCTGTGCCCCCTACTGTGCCAACCTGCTGTGCTTTAGCCACCCGGCGCTCCGCTCGTTGTTGTGAGCGTCGCTCCTCCGCCCTCCGTTGTTGTTGGAGGGCGACTACCTCCAACTTCCCAGTAGCGTCCTTCACGAGCCTCCTCCACAGAGGTCGATCTTGACACCGCTGGTACCAGTCATCGGCAAGTCCACTCAGCTCCACGTCCTCCTGTACCACATCACTCCATCTCTTCTCTAGCCCGTGCCGCGCCCGCTTAGCCCCCTCAATCCGGCCGAACAAAAGCTGTTTCGGCATGCGTTGGCTGGGCATGCGGGCTACATGACCCAGCCATCGCAGCCTTGCCCGCCGGAGGAGCTCACCGATGGGACCTTGCCCAGATCCTTCAAGGATTTGTGAGCTCCTCACACAATCCAGTCTGGTTAAACCCAGGATGGATCGTAGGCAGACCAGCCTAAATGTTTCTAACCGGCGAAGATGTTCCATTAGGGGAGTCTACGTTTCGCAAGCGTCGAGAAGGGAGGGAATGACCGTGGCCGAGAAGACCTGAAGCTTAGTGCGGAGCGACAGACCAGGTAGCTTCCACACAGCGTTATGCAATCGATGAAAAGATATTGCCGCTTGACTGATTCGGAGTGAGACCTCTGCTGTTAAACTGGAGCCAGTCATAAGCACACTGCCCAGGTATGGGAAGCTCTCCACTCTCCACAACTGCCCCATCACCGATTGGGAGTTGTGGGGGTGGAGTGTCCGATGGTACAAAATACCCAGGCAGGTGCTTAGTTTTGGTGGGGCTGATGGTAAGGCCCCACCTCTTAGTGGCACGCTCCAGTCTCAGCAGCAGCGTCTCCAACTCCTCCTCTGACTGAGCAGCTATTACCAAATCATCAGCATACATGACGTGGTTGACCAATAGGGAGCCATCCCTTGGCCGCACCCGAGCATCGATCAGCCTCCCATTATATCTGTACCATATGGAGATTCCCCCGGTACAGCTATTGAAGGCTTCACGAACTACGTGGTCAAAATAGATGTTAAATAATGTGGGAGCCAGAGGACATCCCTGTCGCACCCCAAGGTGTACAGGGAATGGCTCTAACTCCCGGCCACGTAGTTTTACCCGGGCCCGCTCACCATCATGAAGGTCCTTAATGATCGTGAGCAGAGGGTCAGGTACTCCAAAAGCACGAAGAACCACCCACAGCCCAGGCCTACTGATGGTATCATAGGCCTTGACCAGGTCAATAAAGCAGAGATGTAGGTCTTGTTGGAATTCCCTACACCTCTGCTGTAGCAGACGGACAGAAAATATGGCATCTGTGCAGGACCGCCCTTTCCTGAAACCGCACACACACGCACACACACCACACACACCACACACACACCACACACACACACGCACGCGTGCTTTGCGTGCGTTTAATTTGTTGTCCTTCCCTCGCACCTCCGATCAGCACAGGTTTGTCTACGTGCGGTGCGAAAGAAGTTCAAAACACGCACGTGCGCGCGCGCGACACACACCTGGCCGCGGCTTGCTCTGCAGCAGCGCCTTGGGCGCCGACTTTTTCACCTTCTTCGAGTCGAGGCAGTGCCACTCCTCACAGCAGCGGTCGGCCGACTTGAGCAGGCGGGGCCGCAGACAGCGCGCCGCTGGCGGCCGCGGGCTGAGCGCGCAGCGCGCCACGCAGCCCACCGCGCCGTTGATGCAGGTGCATGCGTACTTGCAGCTGGGCAGGAAGCTCTGCCCGTTGTGGTAACGATGCCCGTTCAGCTCGCAGCCCACGCCGACGCTGTCTGTGGCGGCCGAGGGCGGTGTCGGCGGCGGTGCGGTGAACGGGAGGTGAGTAGGGGGCGCGAAGGCGGTCGAGTGGGTGCGCGGGATGGTGGGGTGGGGGGGGGTTGTCAGTCGGGATCAACTTCGCGGGGACAGCGCGGCCTGGCCTAACGCTTTCCAGCTAAGGTGGGAATGGTTTACGCGTTAGCTCGGTCCGTCCGTTCATCCGTCATGGCGAAGAGGTTGGGGGGGGGGGGGGGGGGACAAGGGGGTCGGGCACGACAACTTTCGTAAAGTCGATCCACTCCGAACACAATTTGAGCGGAAAGATGCCTTCCCGTTCGGGGCTTACACTGCAGAAAACTGGCCGCAGAGACACAAACCACAGCGAGAAGGACAATTGACGAGTATCCAGAATTCATCCTTCCGTGGACCATGGCGTGTGGGAACGAGTTGCGTCATCAAGGGGGTAGTGAGCTTCGACTCACAGAATCTGAACGAAATCAATCCAGCGGATATATTGCTTGTAAAAAAAAACACCCCCATCATGCTGGCTGCTTCACGATTCTCGTGGTGATATTCACATCGGGACAAAACTCTGCAGAGGCCATGGGAGGGCAGCAGAGGTGGGGTGAGGGGCTGGTAAGGTTATAGCTCAGGGCTCGTATTAGCGGCTGGTTGGTTCAGGTTAGCGCTAGCAAGAATAGTATTGTCTGGTTGGCTAAGGTGCATGGTGTAAGGTTTAGGTGTAGGATGAATATTTGATGGGCTAGTGTGGTTACCAGTTAGCTTGTTGAGAGGGATGCTTTGACTGTTGGGTTTGCTATTTGGTTGGGGTTAGGCATAGTAATCGTAGCTGGTTGTCTCGTTTTTTCGGTTGGTTTGTGTGCATCGCCCTCTCATAAATCGTCCTCCTCCGCATGACGGCGCACGCACCTTCCGTGCCTGAGCCCAGACACCCATCTCGACCAAAATTCTCAACACCCATCTCCGCCTCGACGAGATTCACCACTCCAGGTGACGTGGACATTGGCACAATTTCCGATCAAAGCAAATCTGACGAAGATGCGCACCGGTCAGGAAGCCACTTGAAGCTGTGCACATTTAAATCATCTCGATTGAAAACAAATTTCTTTAGAACTCGTTTTTATGTTTGTTGTCCTTCCCCTGCGCCTCCAACAAGCACGGTTGGCTACGGTGCGAAGGAAGTTCAACGTCCATAAATACAAAGTGACACTCCAGTGCCGGCAATTAATCACAGTGCCCGCTGTTAGAGCCCCACTCATCGCAAATTCACAATCGGCCACGGGGCCAGGGGTCCTTCCACTGGCGACCTGCAGGCCAATATGTGGCTCGTGGAGACTCGTGGAGCGGCCTGCCATGCTATGGCCCACGGAGAGATATGACGGGCTGAGATATATGAAGAAATATGAAGATGATGGCGAGAGTGAGATGGTGGAGAGATAAAGAGGTAGGCATGAGTGGGCTGTAGACAAGAGGCGTAAGACGTAGGTGGTCACGTGTTGGGTCACTTGCAATTGAGACGATCCTGCATTTCTTGGGATCAAGTCAAGTTTAGTTTTTTTAGATTAAACACGTGGGGTCTTTCTGACACAAATCTGCCACTCAAAGCGCTATCATCAAATTAAAACTCGGCGTGAAATGAGAGAGGTGTCCTCAACCAATCAACTCGGATTCGACACGTTTCTCTCGAGGCGTGGACAACAACGAAGGTTGCCGTGACGTTGGCACATCACGTGACATAACAAGTTGAAGATCGCAGCTCTCTCGAGAGCGCCGCACTCGTGGGCCCTTCTTCCAACGGGTGTGTCAATTACATTGGCCGGGTCAGGTTTACTGAGCTCGCTACGTTAAACTAGACGCCTAGGGAATTCATGTAAATGTTGTATAAGATGACGCCGTCGTGTTGATGTGAAGTGCACCTTATAAGTGACAGCACAGTTAAGCGTAACTTCGTTATGTTTCCACAAACCTGTAAATTTTCGTATTGCTGAGTCTATCAGCCTATTGACTTGTCGGAACAATAATATCCAGCAAAAAAAATTAGTAAATAAACTCTTCGGGCAGTTTCAGTCATTCTGGTCTCATCAGCAGAGGCAGGCACATTTTACAAATGCTGCCGGATCATCAGATATTACTGGCAAGAGCACTCCATGTAACGTAATACGACCCCATGCAATGCCAAAAGCCGAAATAATACATCTCGTCTGCAAGGTGCCATCTGACGCACATACACAAAGTCACCCCCTACCCCCACACTAGCTACGCTCACTGGGACAATATGAATATTGCTCAATGGTGAAACTGATACCCCCCCACCACCCACGTCCCCTGACCGACGATCCATTGAAAACCCCCGTCTAGGCGCGCGAGTCGGGCGGTAGGGTAGGGGGCGGGACACTTACGTGCGCACACTCCTATCTCATACCTCGGGCTGTCCCCCGAGTAGTCACAGTAGAGGTCCTTGTGAGGGTCGCACGTGTCCGCCTCCGTGCACAGGTCGCCCTGCTGCCTAGCGCACACGCGGCAGCAGCCGCAGCCGTCGAGCGCCGCGCTCACCCCCACGGGGCAGCGCGGCTCCCCGTGCGCGCAGCGGCACGGCCACTCGCAGTACGGGCGACGAAGCGCCGCCGACGCCGCTGCCGCCGCCGCCGCCGCCGCTGCTGCCGGCAAAGGCCCCACCGCCTGCCCGGCAGCGACATTGGGCCACAACACCTGTAGACGAAGACAAACAAGGCGACGATGTTACAGTGCTCACCCCACATCCTCCACACTGCTGTTGGGGCGTCGGCAATCGAGGAGGTGGGTGGCCAGCACCACGCCCGGCCGCACTTTTGTCTCCCAAGTGGCGATGTTTTTAAGCACCGCACCAGGTCCTCATTTGAGGCTGAGTGGACCTAGTCGATGCCCAGAGAACCGTCACTGGTGGTGGCCGTGAGCGGGAATCGTTAACTCGAGTCGCTGGGGTTCACATAGCGCGGCGCGCTAACCACTGCGCCACTTTGTGGAGAAGGAAGCGGTTGTCCTTTGGAGAGACTCGCCCCCTGCCATAGGAATGTGTAATTTCCGCTCCCCGCCGAGGGCTGCAAACAGGAGCTGAGCGCCGACGCAATGCTCATTTGAGCAGGAAGTCACTCGCGACTTTTGTTTCGGAATCACAAGCGGCGCTATCGCCTTTTCCCACGATCGAATAATGGTCAAACAGCGAAGTGAGGCCCACAAGTGACGCCTGGAAAGCGGGCGGAGCTGTCGTCAGAGGAGACGTGGGGGGTGTTGTTGTTGTTGCTGCTGCTGCTGCTGCGTTGCTGTGCCGTCGGGAATTCCTTCTGTCGCCTCCACGGAGACAAATCTGTGCGAGCAAACACGGCGGGTGTCTTGCTCCTCCTCGTCGTCCGGATCGCACCACCGCCCTCTCTCCTCCAGTATCCTCCCCCCCTCCCCATCACCTCCCCGGAGATTCACGCCATGGGGTTTTCGAAAGGGGAACTCATCCACCGTGTGAAATGCAATCGTCCAGAAACTGTAATGAGGCACACGGGAAGAAGCCCCACCGAGTCTCAAGACCCATAAATAATCACCAGGAGGGTCTGGCTTGGGACGCTTGGACGATTTTTCCTTGCCGAGTATTTTCGCGTGCGTGAGGATGGACTTTGTACGCCCGGTGAAAACCCAAGCTCGCCAAGACAGAACTCTCAACACTCTCAACCTCTGAGTGGATAACATCAACCGCCTGCTTTGCTTTACCGTCTCATCATGTGCAGAGAGGAACGTGAAAAAGGGAGGAACATTGGAAAATCAGTGGCGTATCTGTAAATGGGTCACTGTAAATGCCACTGCTTTCGGGGTGTGCTTCCCTCGGTGTTACAGAGGCAATGATAGAGCAGCACGCGGTCTCGCATCCCGGTTTAACGGCTCCTCGTAAAAGTAAATGATCTCCCCGGCACAGCAACTCACGCCGGAATGTGCCACGCAGGAAATCGCTCGGGATGCGAACAGCGGAGTCAGTGAAGCGGTCGAGAGAGGTGGGAGCACATCGAGAGCTCCACTGGTCCACCAGCGGAGCTCTCGATTGTCAATTCACTGCTGGATGAGGGCCTCCCTCCAGCGCGCCTTGCTAGTCGCCGGGGTTATCTGACCATACTTCACCACGCCGGTCGGTGAAGGTGGCGAGCATTTGGACGAGAGAGCAAAACAAAGTACAGCGCAACAGCGCATTGTGCTGCACTGCAGCCTGTAGCAACCTCTTGTGCGTGGTGGTCACCCATCCAAGAGCCATCACTCTCCAGGCTCACGACTGCTTAGCTTGTGAGGTCGGACGGGGAACGGCCGCATTCCGAGTGATTTATGCCATCATAGGTATTACGGCTACCTCTGAGACTCCTTCTTCAAGTGAGCTCGGAATTAAACAGTTGGAAGCACTTTAATTCCCACCCGCTCCGCGTGTGAGAGAAATATCCTTCGTATGACCCAATATTTCATCCTCAGCGCTGGAATTCAGCCAAGTTAAGTGCAGGAACTTAATGTTATTTTTTCGTGTGCAGTCAACAGGTCGTGTTAGTCTATGGGTCTCTATGTGAGTCGATGTGTGTCTATGTGAGTCTATGGGTGTCTGTGTGAATATATGGGTCTCTGTGTAAGTCTATTAGTCTCTATGTGAGTGTACGTGTCTCTATGTGAGACTATTTATGTCTATGTGAGCCATTGAGTATCTATGTGAGCCCATGCGTCTCTATATAAGTCCGATGGTAACTGGGCTGAGACCATCAACTCACTACACGTGTACACCGGTTCCATCATAGGCAGCGGCTGAATCCCCGTGGACTCGAACCCAGGATCTCAGCAGTGCCGGCGCGCAGCGCTCAGCGCTCCGAGTTGCGAGCCAGCCCGGCCACCTTAACCCAACAGAGGCGAGTGAGACGCCGTCTCGATGTCCGCGTCGCCTGCGTCGCTCCCTCACCTGCGCGCACGCGTGGAGCAGCAGCAGCAGCAGCAGCGGCAGCGCTCCCTGCAGGTGCGGGCGATGACGCATTGCTCCGGGCTGCCCCAGAGGCGCGCCCCGAGGGCTGCGTTGGCGTTGCCCGGCTTCAGGTTGGTGCCAGGAGGTCCACCAACACGTGGGTTCGCAGGTGCCGCGTGCCAGCAAGGCGGTCACGGTAACCTGGCCGGGTGAGTCAAGGTCGGCACGGGTGGCAGAGGGGAGGGGGGTGTAGGCGACGGGGTCCCCTTGGTGTGAGGGGGTCCGCTCTCCTGGCGCGGCAGTTGTCTTGGGGGGATCTCAGCTACTCTAGCGATAATTCGTCTTCCTCCTCCCTCTCGCTGCGCGGGCCCCCGTCCGCTGCGAGTGTGCGCGGTGGAGCTCGGTCGGGTGCGAGAAGGAGCTGCGCTCGAGGCGCATCCCACCAAGCGAAACGCAGCCACCAGAAAGCCAGAGCAGTGGTTGCCTGCCTGGTGATGTCACCACCACGCGTGGCGGCGGTGGTGGTGAGGGAGGGGAGGGGCAGGGAGGGTGCTTGCTGGGTCGGGCCAGTGTGGGAAAGGGAGCGAGCAGCGTGCAGAGAGCTCAGGCAGAGAGAGAGAGGCGCACACGCGGACGGGTTGATGATGATGGGGTCTCGAGAGAGACTCACGGCCAGTCGGCGGTACAAGCCACTGCAGAAACAAACGCGTGTGTTTGCATATGTGTATGTGTGTTTGTATGTGTGTGTATGTGTGTATATGTGTATGTGTGTATATGTGTATGTGTTTGTAAGTGTTTGTATGTGTATATGTGTGGGTTTGTATGTGTGTGTTTGTATGTGTATATGTGTATGTGCGTGTATGTATGTGTGTGTTTGTACGTGTGTTTGTATGTGTGTGTATATGTGTGTGTGTATGTGGGTATGTGTGTGTGTATGTGCTACCTGGTCTGTCGCTCCGCACTAAGCTTCAGGTCTTCTCGGCCACGGTCATTCCCTCCCTTCTCTACGCTTGCGAAACGTGGACCCCCCTAATGGAACATCTTCGCCGGTTAGAAACATTTAGGCTGGCCTGCCTACGATCCATCCTGGGTTTAACCAGACTGGATTGTGTGAGGAGCTCACAAATCCTTGAAAGATCTGGGCAAGGTCCCATCGGTGAGCTCCTCCGGCGGGCAAGGCTGCGATGGCTGGGTCATGTAGCCCGCATGCCCAGCCACCGCATGCCGAAACAGCTTTTGTTCGGCCGGATCGAGGGGGCAAAGCGGGCGCGGCACGGGCTAGAGAAGAGATGGAGTGATGTGGTTCAGGAGGACGTGGAGCTGGGTGGACTTGCCGATGACTGGTACCAGCGGTGTCAAGATCGGCCTCTGTGGAGGAGGCTCGTGAAGGACGCTACTGGGCAGTTGGAGGTAGTCGCCCTCCAACAACAACGGAGGGCGGAGGAGCGACGCTCAGAATAACGAGCGGAGCGCCGGGTGGCTAAAGCACAGCAGGTTGGCACAGTAGGGGGCACAGGTGGTGCATCGGCCAGTCATCTCAGTCAGTCGACCCGTGGCACCTGGGTCTGCCCCGTGACCTCCTGCCAGCGGGCGTTCGACACTTCACGTGGCCTCGGGGTGCACATGGCCTGGCACAATCGTCGTGGTGACGTCACCGTCACTTAGTGGCGAATGGCGGTTGTTGTTGTTGTTGGTGTGTATGTGTGTGTACGTGTGTGTATGTGTGTGTACGTGTGTGTGTATGTGTGTGTGTGTATCTGTGTGTATGTGTGTGTGTATGTGCGTGTATCTTTGTGTATGTGCGTGTATCTGTGGGTATGTGTGTGTATCTGTGTGTATGTGCGTGTATCTGTGTGTATGTGTGTGTATCTGTGTGTATGTGTGTGTATCTGTGTGTATGTGTGTGTATCTGTGTGTATGTGTGTGTATGTATGTGTGTGTATGTGTGTGTATGTGTATCTGTGTGTATGTGCGTGTATCTGTGTGTATGTGTGTGTATCTGTGTGTATCTGTGTGTATGTGCGTGTATCTGTGTGTATGTGCGTGTATCTGTGTGTATGTGCGTGTATCTGTGTGTATGTGTGTGTATCTGTGTGTATGTGTGTGTATCTGTGTGTATGTGTGTGTATGTGTGTGTATCTGTGTGTATGTGTGTGTATCTGTGTGTATGTGTGTGTATCTGTGTGTATGTGTGTGTATCTGTGTGTATGTGTGTGTATCTGTGTGTATGTGTGTGTATCTGTGTGTATGTGTGTGTATCTGTGTGTATGTGTGTGTATGTGTGTATGTGCGTGTATGTGTGTGTATCTGCGTGTATGTGTGTGTATCTGTGTGTATCTGTGTGTATGTGTATTTGTGTGTATGTGCGTGTATCTGTGTGTATGTGTGTGTATGTGTGTGTATCTGTGTGTATGTGTGTGTATGTGTGTGTATCTGTGTGTATGTGTGTGTATCTGTGTGTATGTGTGTGTATCTGTGTGTATGTGTGTGTATGTGTGTGTATCTGTGTGTATGTGTGTGTATGTGTGTGTATGTGCGTGTATCTGTGTGTATGTGCGTGTATCTGTGTGTATGTGTGTGTATGTGTGTGTATGTGTGTGTATCTGTGTGTATGTGTGTGTATCTGTGTGTATGTGTGTGTATCTGTGTGTATCTGTGTGTATGTGTGTGTATCTGTGTGTATGTGTGTGTATCTGTGTGTATGTGTGTGCATCTGTGTGTATGTGCGTGCATCTGTGTGTATGTGCGTGTATCTGTGTGTATGTGCGTGTATCTGTGTGTATGTGCGTGTATGTGTGTGTATGTGTGTGTATGTGTGTGTATATGTGTGTATGTGTGTGTATCTGTGTGTATCTGTGTGTATGTGTGTGTATGTGTGTGTATCTGTGTGTATCCATGTGTATTTGTGTGTATGTGTGTGTATGTGTGTGTATGTGCGTGTATCTGTGTGTATGTGCGTGTATCTGTGTGTATGTGTGTGTATGTGCGTGTATCTGTGTGTATGTGCGTGTATGTGTGTGTATGTGCGTGTATCTGTGTGTATGTGTGTGTATGTGTGTGCATGTGTGTGTATGTGTGTGTATGTGTGTGTATGTGTGTGTATCTGTGTGTATGTGTGTGTATCTGTGTGTATGTGTGTGTATCTGTGTGTATGTGTGTGTATCTGTGTGTATGTGTGTGTATCTGTGTGTATGTGTGTATGTGTGTGTATCTGTGTGTGTATCTGTGTGTATGTGTGTGTATCTGTGTGTATGTGTGTGTATCTGTGTGTATGTGTGTGTATCTGTGTGTATGTGTGTGTGTGTGTATCTGTGTGTATGTGTGTGTATCTGTGTGTATGTGTGTGTATCTGTGTGTATGTGTGTGTATGTGTGTGTATGTGTGTGTATCTGTGTGTATGTGTGTGTATCTGTGTGTATGTGTGTATCTGTGTGTATGTGTGTGTATGTGTGTATGTGTGTGTATCTGTGTGTATGTGTGTGTATCTGTGTGTATGTGTGTGTATCTGTGTGTATGTGTGTGTATCTGTGTGTATGTGTGTGTATGTGTGTGTATCTGTGTGTATGTGTGTGTATCTGTGTGTATGTGTGTGTATCTGTGTGTATGTGTGTGTATCTGTGTGTATGTGTGTGTATCTGTGTGTATGTGTGTGTATCTGTGTGTATGTGTGTGTATCTGTGTGTATGTGTGTGTATGTGTGTATGTGCGTGTATGTGTGTGTATCTGCGTGTATGTGTGTGTATCTGTGTGTATCTGTGTGTATGTGTATTTGTGTGTATGTGCGTGTATCTGTGTGTATGTGTGTGTATGTGTGTGTATCTGTGTGTATGTGTGTGTATGTGTGTGTATCTGTGTGTATGTGTGTGTATCTGTGTGTATGTGTGTGTATCTGTGTGTATGTGTGTGTATGTGTGTGTATCTGTGTGTATGTGTGTGTATGTGTGTGTATGTGCGTGTATCTGTGTGTATGTGCGTGTATGTGTGTGTATGTGTGTGTATGTGTGTGTATGTGTGTGTATCTGTGTGTATGTGTGTGTATCTGTGTGTATGTGTGTGTATCTGTGTGTATCTGTGTGTATGTGTGTGTATCTGTGTGTATGTGTGTGTATCTGTGTGTATGTGTGTGCATCTGTGTGTATGTGCGTGCATCTGTGTGTATGTGCGTGTATCTGTGTGTATGTGCGTGTATCTGTGTGTATGTGCGTGTATGTGTGTGTATGTGTGTGTATGTGTGTGTATATGTGTGTATGTGTGTGTATCTGTGTGTATCTGTGTGTATGTGTGTGTATGTGTGTGTATCTGTGTGTATCCATGTGTATTTGTGTGTATGTGTGTGTATGTGTGTGTATGTGCGTGTATCTGTGTGTATGTGCGTGTATCTGTGTGTATGTGTGTGTATGTGCGTGTATCTGTGTGTATGTGCGTGTATGTGTGTGTATGTGCGTGTATCTGTGTGTATGTGTGTGTATGTGTGTGCATGTGTGTGTATGTGTGTGTATGTGTGTGTATGTGTGTGTATCTGTGTGTATGTGTGTGTATCTGTGTGTATGTGTGTGTATCTGTGTGTATGTGTGTGTATCTGTGTGTATGTGTGTGTATCTGTGTGTATGTGTGTATGTGTGTGTATCTGTGTGTGTATCTGTGTGTATGTGTGTGTATCTGTGTGTATGTGTGTGTATCTGTGTGTATGTGTGTGTATCTGTGTGTATGTGTGTGTGTGTGTATCTGTGTGTATGTGTGTGTATCTGTGTGTATGTGTGTGTATCTGTGTGTATGTGTGTGTATGTGTGTGTATGTGTGTGTATCTGTGTGTATGTGTGTGTATCTGTGTGTATGTGTGTATCTGTGTGTATGTGTGTGTATGTGTGTATGTGTGTGTATCTGTGTGTATGTGTGTGTATCTGTGTGTATGTGTGTGTATCTGTGTGTATGTGTGTGTATGTGTGTATGTGTGTGTATCTGTGTGTATCTGTGTGTATCTGTGTGTATGTGTGTGTATGTGTGTGTATGTGTGTGTATGTTTTCGTGCGTCTGTTTGTGTGTTGGTATAGGGAGCGGTAGCGCAGTTGTTAGCGCTACGCTGCGCTACGAAATCGGCGATCCGAATTCGATCCTCGCTCACGGCCAACACCGGTGACGATTTTCTGAACCGGTCCTGAGGCCTCCCCTAGGTCGACTCAGCCTCAAATGAGTACCTGGTGTGGTGTGTAAACATCGTCACTGGGGAGACAAAGGCGGCTGGGCGTGGTGTTGGCGTCACCACACCATCGTGTGTCGTACTGGCCTTCACAGATGCTCGCTAACAGCACTTGCCGGAACAGCCCATGTGGGCTATATGGCGGATCTTTGTTTTTGTACGTCATGTGTGTGCGTGTCTGTGTCTCTGTGTGCACGTGGATGGGGGAAGCGGCGCCTTAAGGATTGGCGCACGGATAGCAGAAGGGCTTCAGAGTCGACTCAGCCTTAAATAAGTAGCTATAGTGAAGTCTGTCAACATCAACACTGGGAAGACAAAGGCGGCCGGGTGTGGTGTTAGCCCCACCGACCTCCCATGCGCTAACAGCACTTGCCCCACCAGCTTGGTAAAGACTACCCGGGGTGTCTTTGCTTCTTTTGTCGGTGCAATGTTTGTGTGGGGGTGTGGTGGCACCTCCAACCCGTGACGCCGTGGGGAGGCCGTTCATCGAGCAGTGGATAGATCATGGCTGGTGGCTCAGCGATAGAGTGAGCGGCTGGCTATTGCAAGGTCGC